TATATATCAAAATTAAAAAATAATATTGTCTGCATTGAGAATAGATACATAAATCAATTTTTCATATTTGCACGTAGGCGCGTCATTGGATTAAATATAAAAAACTATATTAACGCACTAAAATTTTACGTTCTTATTTAAAAATTCTACCTTAATTCTCTTCTGCCTCTTTTTATTCTTTTTAAAAAAACCATGGTAAAATCGTATAAAAATGTTACTTTTTATTAGCAAATAGTAATAATAAAAATTCCAACGTAAATTTTAAATAATCAATTTCAATATTAAAATTGTTTGATATTGTTAAATTCAGAAATTGATATCCGTATATAAAAATGTATTATTTTAATCACACATTGTCGGAGATAAGAAAATGCTGCTATACTAATATATTCTATCTATTTTTAAAAGTTTATAATAAAAATCCGTTTAAGTTTTTGAAGTGACAGATAAAAATGATTACTGTAATAAAAATGTTGACTAGTACAAAAAGAGTAATTCACCGGATAGGACTATAACAGTCGCAATGGAGAAATATCCTTTCTCGAAGAAATATCGTTGAACCTAAAGTCCACGCGAAGTCCATAAATTTCGAAATAACATTGTTCTATGTCACGCGAGGCACCTTCTTCTATTTTTATACCTTCTCTTTCGATATGCGAATAAAAAGATTTGACGCTTATACTCGTAATGCGATCATCGTTATTGTTTGTCAGTCACAAATATATGGCCCTATTACATGTCTAGGACGAAGCATCGATCATGTAACAGCGCGTTATCAATACATGTTCAGTATAGTCGTGTTAGATTCACTAGCTACATGTACAAGTATCACTTGACTATTTTCTTATATAAGCAAAGTGAGTACCGTCATTTATACGTATCTACAATTATGTTCTCCAATGCAATTACATATCCTAAACTGCATTTTGAGTTCACATAATCAAAAAGGATATACATGTTTATTTTTTTTACATACGTGTTGGCGTGTTGGCTTGCATCAGTTCAAATGTTGAATCCAACGATATGGAAATATAAGTGGAAAGCGATTAATTAATACATTTTAATACGTATTAATATATTTTAACCAGCGTTGGGAACGTTACTTTATTAATACGTTATCGTTACTTTTTGTAAAAAGTAACTCGTTGCCTCATTTTCTTGTTACTAATTTAAAAAATTAGTTACGATTACTTAGAAAGTAACGATTTATTACAATGCCCCTAAGATATACAAAACATTTTCCGATTTAAATTTCTATTATAATAAAATAGATATATATTTCTAGTCAATTAAAAATAATGCGATCTATTGAATAGTTACGAAGATAATAAGGAATTAAAGTAACGATAAAAGTAACGACTGAATTCGTTATCGTTGTAAAAATGTAACGACATTACCGTTACCGTTATAGAAAAAATTAACAAAAACGGTAACGGCGTTATAAATAACGCATTACTTTCCAACTCTGGTTTTAACTATTCACTTTACACAAATATACACGCGATAATACATCATACGCATCTTATTATTAATTATTAAGATACATATGTACAAACAGAATAAATTTCTAGATGTAAAGCATGATAGATATGTGCTCGAATACACGATTAGCAATAACCGAAAAGCCGCGATCGTGGAATGTGCAAAACATTAAAAAACAAATAGCGTCATATAATCTGCAAAGTGAAATTTTAAAATGTACTTAATAAACATTTTCAGTCTCGTGAATTTGATAAAATATTATCGATGATTTTGCACAACTTTAAATATTAAAATATAAAATTACATAAAACATTTTTTTCGAAATAAAAAATAACATCGTAATAATATTGTAATTCATAACTGCTTCGTTTTATAAGAAATAAATATGTGCAAAAATCATTTCCGTTATTATAGATACATTTCATTAAAAAAATTGATTAAAAATGTTTCAACAAAATAACACACGCAATATTATAGATATCATTTAGATTTATAATGATTTTGATCTTTGTTGTAAAAGAAAATTGAAAACATAATATATTTAAACGCAAAATTTATAATGTAATTTGAGATTATTTAGGCACGTCATTAAAAAATGCCAGAACAAATGACTAAAAGAAGCTCTTTTTGGAACATACCATCACGAATTTGATACTCGCGATCGCAGCTGTGCGGCGTGTATGGACGGAGCAAGCGCATTCTCGCGAATAGAGCGAATGCCGGTGTCACTCGCGAGCGAGTGTCCTCCAATGAAACGCTGCTAAATAAATCGCGATCCTTGAAAACAGTGTCCGTCCCGAGAAAACGCGACGCAGCAAAGCGAACGCATCGCCGCGCGGCACGTAACGAATTACCCGACCGGGGTGAAGAATGGCGTCGTTTTCCAGAATAATTGGCACGACAATATTCACCGACCGATTTTACACGAAATACACGGGAGAGCCTCGAGAGGCGATCAAGTCACACCAGTGAGTGTTTTCGCGTTAATTCCGAGTCTCTCGTCGTAAATCGTTCGTGTTCTCTGCGTCAATATGATACTATCGGACATAACTTCTTACACCCTTCGTTAATCCGAGTACACGTGGAGTACAGCTTAGTTATTTCCGTGTCAAAATGACAGGGGCAGTAATTAGTGCACTGTGTGTACTTGTTTTCTCAGAGGACATTCAGTACTTCAGCGATAATTATTCGCAACCAGATATGTTTAGGAGAAACATACGTAATTAATTATCGAAAATCACGTTATGTGCGATATGTAGATTTAAAATTAAATACCATATATCGAAAGATGGCAGCTACGAGGTTTTTGATTTTAAAGCAAACAGCGAGTCGATCTGAGTACAAGACGAGATAAGCAGTTTGTACGAGTATATATATATATATATATTAAATAGTATGACATTAAAATGATATTTATATCAACTAGTTTTTCCTCCAGTGAGAAAATTTTACACTCGGTCAATTTATATCTCTTAATGTTAAAAGTTTATGTATTTTCGTCAATAGAGCAATACATTACGGCACTTGACTTTGATCCTTATTTGATCGCCGTCAAAAGAACCTTTCCCGCAAGAGACCGTTCTCGATTTACATAATAAATGGCTGGAGGAACTCTTTTATTCTTTTTAAGAGCGATCCTGCTAAATCGCCGAACGTCGAGACCGATAGACGAGTAGAGTACTGAAAGTTTTAACTGATATTATTGCCATCTTTATCATCGAATCGCCCTTATCTGATCCACTTGACTTCACCTCGTTACCGGAATGTTATTAACTTTGGGGGATGATGAGCGCCGCCAAGTGCCTCCTTAAACGTTACGGCATTTTCATCTACCGGTCGACTTACCGCGGCGGAACCATAATTCGGGATGTGGTGTTCGCGACGTTACTCGCGTGTGTTCGTCGAGCTTAAATCTCACACATAGCGAACTTGCAGTGCACTAGCGTAAATTACTCCCCTCCAGCGGGCACGTATATAACTTTGCGGCCGGTATCCTCCCTCTCGGAATGCCAGTAAGCTCCGTCGAGAAATTTAATCGAGATTGGGAAAACCTTATTTTCCTTCTCGCCCGCGTTTCACGTCTCGTCTTGCAGCCAGATAAAATGCTGTCGCGAGTGAGACACTCGTCTCTCCCTTGTTACAAGATGGGATCTCGCGGAGAGAAACAGGCTTGCCTCTTTTCTCCCGTCGAGAATGGACGTTCCGCGATAAATGAGACAGTGCACTATCCAAATATGTATAGGTATGTGTGTTTTGTATGTGTGTGCGTGTGTGTGTGCGTATGCGTATGCGTGTGTGTGTGTGTGTGAGTGAGTGAGATAATACCAGGGGCTTGCTGAATTTTTGTAATTAAATATTCGCCTCAAAAAATTTCACTCGGAATAAAAATGCTGCCTCGTTATTAATAAATAACAAAGAGATTACTAAATATTTTCAACATTCTTAGAATCGATTAGAACTTCAATTCTAAATAATCGAAGAACGTGTCTTTCAATCCATATAAATATATGTAACGTCCATAAGCTCTCTGACAAAATCCTAATATACAAATGCATAGTTTATACAGAACATTTCCACTGGACGGCAACCATTCGTATCAGCGTCAAAAGTATTGGGCCATACATTACTAATTTCAACTGACTGTATTTTACAATAAAGATCAATGAGATGCAAACTTCTTCGTAGTCATTGTTAAATAATGACACTTGTTATGTCACGTAGATATCCTTAGTGCCAATTCCTTAGGTCATAATTTTTGGTTTTCTTTTTTACGAATTTTATCGTACAAGTATCGTGATAGTTATTGTACAGGGTGTTACAGATACATACTAGGCAGTATGTATGGGTTGCGCGGCAAACTTTGCATGACCAAGCGTGGTTTAATAGACAATGACAGTGACTTTATACATTATAAAGTTTATACTACAAAGTTTTATTATTTATATCATAAAGTTTATGTTATAAAGTCACTGTCATTGTCTATTAAACCACGCTTGGCCATGCAAAGTTTGCCGCGCAACCCGTCGTACTGCCTAGTATGTATCTGTAACACCCTATACATGAAAAATTGTTAATGAAAAATAAAAGCGTTTTTATATGAATTGTTATTAAGTAATATGTCCAGTCGTAAATATAACTAGAAATACTCGTAAATACACTGGAATCTCGTAATAGCGCGCGGTTTGGGACTCTGAACGTAATAACGAGAGTTTCTCTACTTTACTTTTAAACCATGAAATTCAGGACCGCTATTGGAGCTGTGGTTCTATCGTTACCTCCCACTCACACTTCTTATATGCGTCTAGCACGTATATGGAAAGGATTTTGTACACTATTTTGAGATTCGTTATACGAGGTTCCAATGTATACTATATTTTTTTATATTATACGCTTTCAATTATCGCGAAATTAATTTTACTTGAAAACTCTTGTTTCTGGCGTCCTTATAAAAATCAAACAAACTGCACAATGCAAAAAATTCAGTCAATATCGAAGAACAAACCGTGAGAATCAAATGAATTAATTGTAAGGCCATACCAGAAGCAGTCCTCGTGCGACATTGTTTATACAATGTCGATGCAATGACTGCTCAATCTCGCAAAAACAGATTGCTCATTGCAGAATTAACGTCTGGACAGACATCTTTATCGACCTCTGCTTTCTACACTCTGTACGTGCGTCGCATCGCATCGCATCGCATCTAAAGCTCGTAAACGTCACGTCCGTTCGGTCTGGCCACAGTCGGACGACAGGATGATGGACTCGCGTACGAGTGAATAATGTGTACTCTGAGGCGCACGTCGCTAGAATTTCTACCCTCACCGCCACGTGGCCTCCTTGAGAAGCTTACCGTGGTCTTACAGCAGCAGTAGTGAAAAAGTTTGACGTAAGCGCTGCGAAAGTGACGGTCCGCCACGCAGTAAAGCAGATTGTTGAAGCAGGACTTGGACAGGGCAAACCAGGCCAGGTTGTAGAGCACACGTGTGCTCACCGGAACGAAGGAATTCACGCAGACCGCCAGGCCAAATGGCAACCAGAACACGACGAACATCACGCAGCTGAACATATTCGTCTTTGTGAGCTCATAGTCCCAGGAGAAGGCGGCTGGTGGCTTATACGAGCCTCTCGTGGCTCGTCGCACACATATCACCAGCTTCACGTAGAGGAAGATGGTCGTCAAAGCTGGCAATCCAACCAATATACTTGCCCCCACCGCTTGTTCCATCGCAATACCGCTGAGCCTGCGACGACAAAAGTCAGGACCTATGTCCAAAAACGATTGCAAAGCCACCACAGTCATGGCGATTAGCCAGACGACGATAATTATAGCTGTTACACGACCTGCTGTCAGACTGGCGTATCTAAAAAATATGAAATACGTTGCTATAAGTATTAATGAATTAAACGAGAAAAGACTGTATACGTTATCTCCAGTTTACTCTCTAAATTCTTTGGAGTGGAATCTCACTCTAAAGATTGAAAATTGAGCCAGTCTTGAAAAACGATGGCTCTTGTGGAATTTTCAAGCTTAAAAAGAGTAAGATTTCACTCTTCAAACAATTGACAATTTACTTTAATTGTAAGTTTTAGAAAACACAGCGAAAAATGTCGTAACAAATAGTGTCACTGCAATTCTTCATAGCTTTGAGTAATTATATATAATTCAGACAATATGATAAGTGTTTTAATATAAATATAGCGTGCTAAGATATCATTAATTCGGCTTGCTGTTGTAACTTAGAATACATTTACGAATAACTCTAGAGATAACGGGAGATAATACGTTGTCTCGTTGGATGGATATTTCCCCCTTAATTGCATCACGAGCTTGTTTAAGTCCCGGCTTTCTTATACAGCGTATTCAATTAAAGAAAATATTTCCCTCGGTGATACACTGCGACTGCAATTACGGAGTTGGTCGTACTAGTCTGTGGATTAACGAGGGGCTTGAAAAACGAGTCGGTAGTTACGGAGTTAGCGGTGCTGGCGGACGATTTCTCGTTTACAATGCGAGGAAACTTCCTCGAGTCCACGTGTTCGCCGTGATTCTTCTGACGCGACCGGTTAAAATACTTCCCGTAACGCCGTATTGTCGCGAAACTTTCCGCGTATGAAAAGCGGTAGTCGTCGTCGTTGTCGCCGTCGTCGTTGTCGTTGTCGTCGTCGTCGTCGTCGTCGTCGCCGTCGTCGTCTCTTCCCCGAGATCGTCTGCTATCGGTTACGAATTCCGGCAATTCAAGCTAAAGAGAACGTCGCCCGGAATGCGAAATTACGAACTCGATCGTGACGCTGATAGAGAACCGTGGAAGCACTTCAACGTCAAACTCGAAGTTCCAAGCAGTGGTCGCCATACGCATTATACGCGATGGCTTAAACTGATAATAGTAATTTGATTTCTACCTCATTCACTGTGTTTACATTACCCATATTCACCCAACGATGTTAACTATCGGGAGGTATTTTCATGCAAAGGCTACAAGCAATACGATATATCCAGGCATGTATTATGACATTATCTTTCCGGTCTCTAATGATGTTATCTGCCTGTAACAGGATACATTAGCCTGAAATAGTCATGCGTTCATAAAAAAGCATACTTAGGAAAAGGAAGTATTAATTTTGTAAATAAAGTAAAGATACGCGAATAGAAGCATATAATTTTAAAGAGTGCTTATTGATCTCTCTATGTGCTTAATCTTTTTATGAGTAAACAGGCGTGGTCATAATTTTCTTCCCTTTATTGTCCCCATCGGAACTCCGACCTTCGATCCGAACGATGACCCGGCTTACCTATATTACTGTATTTAGGGTGTTGCCTTAGAAACACTAGTGAAGATATCAAATTTAGATATACAGAATAAGAGCATGTTTTCTTAAAAATTATTATATCGAGTGTTCGGTGATTACTACTAAAAAAAAACGCCGCGATATTGTCGCAAGAAAAATTGTTAGAAATAGAGGGAAGCACATATGTTTTTCTAGGCATAGTTACATAAATTTTTCAATAATCGTTAATGGAAATAGAGAGTTGTTGCGAAAAAAGCTTTCCCCAAGGCAGAAACAAGAATGTATGCGTGGGGAATTGCAGGAACGTGGTATCGATTGCTGGAATCACCGGTGCACTCGCTTTATCTTTCGGTTGGCAAACACTTAACACAAGCGGGCGTAATTTTCGGCCGCTATTGTCGCGAACGGCGGTAAGGCCACCGGGGACCAAAGAGCTTTACAAGCACAGGTTTTGGTATATATGTTGCTACGACCGCGCCAAATGAAGACCCGCCTGCAAGAACCAGATAGCCTCGCCTTTGATCGAAGTGAATTATTTACATGGAAATGGAGACAATCTCCTGCTGCACAGGATAATGCAAGTGTTTATTAAGGCAAATTGTTAGTCGGTAGTCGCGGCAGTTTGATGAAGTTCGGAAGCTTGTTTACGTGCTAACCATAAATGGATTTTACTCCATCTTCACATATTGGCTCTGATACCGTGTAGGATAAAATTGATTGTTTCAGCCTCTTCTCGTCCCTCAAACAGACTTGAATGCGACTCTTAAATTTTATCGACGACATATTAAAAGAGTCAAATCGACGATCTATAAACGATAGAAAATTCAATTTTTTATGGATTCTTGACTGCCAATAAAAATTTTCACCAATATATCGTTGTAAAACGAAACAAAACTAATACCACTTCCGTTTTAGATTATATATCAAACAGTTCGGTTTGATTAACCGACAAGCGTCACACTGTGAAGTTCTTTATCTAGTTATCGAAAACCGCAGCCAGCCGATAAAATTCGCGTTAAAAAACCCGTCCCCCCAGTTTTTACCGAACCAAAGAGAAACCCTTTTTGCCCGGCCTTTGGGCGAGCGAGAGTTTGTTAGTTTTTGCGGCGGTCCGACAAATCGAGACACCCCGGGGTTCGATCCATTTTTCATGCCACCCTACGGGACAAATAACAAACTTTGTTAACGATTACACCGCGTACATCAGTCCGGCCGTTCATCCCACCGAGCGAGTGACGGAAAGCGGCCATGGGCAAGAACGGACGTGCCCGTGTGTCGCGTCGTTCCGGAAACGGACCGCTCAATTAGTATCCGACAAACACCACCTCGTAAACAAAGCGTATGGGTTAAAGGCGACGCTTTGAAGGGTCCTCTTCCCCGACGCGACGGGGGGAAAAGGGGAAAAAGAAGTCGCGCGTGGTGGCGAGCGGTGGCAAAAAAGCGCCGACAATCGCAGGAATGTAGCGGCTATTGATCGCGCCAACGGTCACGTGTGCTATATCTTTTCGATCGCCGAAGCCGGCACTTAATTCGACGGCGGATGGGCCTCTCTCTCTCTCTCTCTCTCGCTCCTCCCTGTTTCCATCGCTGACAACGCGTTTCGTCGTCTCTTTCACCCATCATCCGTCGACGCACAGGCGCGAGCGGGTCTGCCCGACGTCTCCCGATGAAGAATAAAAAAAGAGAAGTATTCCGGATGAGACGACGCGATAACGGTAATAGCGGACTCTCGTCTCCCCGAGCGGTGGTAGTTACAGGGTTGTAATATTGATCGGGAACCGGGTCACCGTTCATGTCCAGAGTTGGATTCGCGCCATTTCGACGGTCAGACGAAAGGTCAGCACCATTTTCTACTATTTTCGCAATAACCTGATCAATCTTCCGCGCTTCCCGACCTACCGATGCATCCTTTTTGCAGTGCTGCATTTGTCGAGGGTAATCGGTATCGCACAGAGTAGGTGTGCATTTGCGCATTGATCGAGTATTCCGCGGAAAGAGAAAGCATTTTTGCATCTTTTAAATGGTACAAATTGTCGTAATGTACGGGAGTTTCTGAATAATAATAATATGGATTAATGTAATGTTTAGCTGATTGGAGGACGAATTGCATTATTACGTGTTCAGCCTGCACCATGAAAGCTAACTAGGAAACATTTTAATCCGGAACTGTGTCTATGCGCAAATGGAAATGTCGCAGCAAATGAATTTGCATAGAAAGTTGGAGTTTTGCATATAAATAGTGCCGAGCCAGACACAATGTGTGTCATTACTTTAGAATTGCGTTTTCGCACCACAGCACTGTAATCGTATTGTCCGGAAAAGCCATAAATATATAAAATATTGGGTAACCATCGCATTATGAAAGCGATATTCTGCATTTCGCCCACAATGCCATAAAATCATGATGTCATTAAACTGAGGCGTCATATTTAACGCGCTGACTGTTTTAGCACAAAAATATTCTAATAATATTGCGGAATACAAATTTAATATGCAGTATAAATAATACAATATAAATTTCTGCATCCTTTAGGTGATAACTGCGATGAATCATATCTGATCATCAACGTAATCTTTTGCGTGTGTCATTATACACTAAATATAACTTTATAATTAAAATATATAATATACTATACTTAATAATTTACATAATGTAACTAATAATTTAATCTTTTTCATTTTTATACACGCACACACACACACACAATTGAGAAGTTACTCAAAAAAACAACTTGAGTTGAAAAACGAAGTACAGTAATAATCATTACCTAAAATTTCAGTTTTAGATCAACTTAAATTATTTTTTGCGTAAAACATATACAGGGTGTTAGTTAAGTATGTTCCCAAACTCAACAGAGCGATTCTTTGGTTCAAGTAAAAAAGTCTATATAAACATGTGTCCTAAACGACTTAGTTTCCGAAATACAGGATAGGTCGAGCAGGAACTCAACCTTGGCCTCCTAGATCACCAGATTTAAATCCTTTGGATTATTTCCTTTGGGGGCATCTGAAATCATTGGTTTATACCACCCCAATTGAGAATGAGAATGATTTGAGAAATCGAATAGTTGCTTCATGCGAGGCAATACGTAACACACCTGGTATCTTTGAGCGTGTACGTCAATCTTTGAAAAAAAGGCTCGATGGATGTATCATGGCGCAAGGTGGACATTTTCAACAATTCATCTAATTGTTTTATTTCGTCAGAAGATCTGAAGCCTGCTTTTATTTTTCTGTTTTTGACTAGTTTTTGACTTCAAGTTGTATTTCTTTCAAATAAACAGATTATTACTACACGTTTAAATTTTTTCATTTCGGAAACTAAGCCGTTTAGGACACATGTTTATATGGACTTTTTTACTTGAAATAAACCAAAGAATCGCTTTGTTGAGTTTGGGAATATACTTAACTAATATCCTGTATATTGAAAGAATCCAGAACATTTAAATACACACAAATGTTTTTTTGTTTTCATTATCCTAATCTTTACTAAAAGTGCCAATGTTACATAAATATATTATATATTTTATATTGAGAAATTTGTGAAAAGAGTATTTGAAATTAAATATACTTTGAATGTAAATCAACAGTGCATGAACAAATAGAAATACCAAACAATAGAACAATTCCCTAACTACAGTTGTTCTTCCAGAGAACTTCTCAATTTCGTGTGATGTACATATCACGCTCGAATATCACGAAGCTACAAAAGGATCCCTGAGATAAAATAGACGAGAGAATGAAACGCGACCGTGATGTCACGTGGCAGTCGACGCGTTAAATTGCGGAAACACCCCTTTTACGCGGGTTTCTCTCCATTTCCACCGTACCTTTCGGCGGGCAGACACAGACGTGCGTAATTTTCGGCGGCGATTGTGGCCAACGTTAGTACGGTCACCAGGAAGCAAAGAGCCTCGAGGGTCCACTCGAATCGGCAAGCACCCAGGGATTCCGCATAACCCGCCAGGATTACGATCACCGAGACCGGTATTACCAGACCAGTCACCAGCAAATCCGCCAGCGCCACGTTCACGAGGAATGCGTTTCCTGGAAAAAGAACCTGCGTGAAACTCATTAAAGTAATTAGCTTCTAACAGTTCTTGCGATCTGGAAACGCTCGAGAGAGCCGGCGTTCCGCACTTTTTGCGTTCGGATTACATTGTGGCAGATGTTCCTCGAGTAATGTTCCTATATCGCGCGAAAATCTCAAAATTGCTCGAAACGATATCTAAATTAATACACGAATCGTCTATTTTCCATGCGGAATAAACTTAATTCTGGAAAACTTACCGAAATCAATACGTAGCGAGCTTACATCCTGTTTCCTCGTACGAAATCCATAATCTTTCGAAACTTTTCACATCGGTTCAATTAGATAACTTTTATTGCTATTTCTTGTTGGATAAGTTGATTTTTATCACGTTATAACAGAAAGATAATAACTTGAACTTATTTTACAAAAATAATGGCGCAGTATAATCAAAAAATAAAATAATGATTTAATAAGTGATAAAACAATATTTTTTAACATTGACAAAAGAAGTGTGTTTGCAGACATTTGCAAGTTATAAATTTAAAGGAATTCTGTACATATGTACAATGTCAGCTGTAATTTCAATTTTAACGATCGTCGACAGGTGAGTGGAAGGACCGGGTAGTCGATTATGCTGATATATGTAAATTAGAGGTTTTATTCTTGTTTCTTTCGCTATTCCTATATCCTACGATACACGGACGAATCGTTTTGTCGCAATTCAGTACAGTTAGGTACAATTTACCGTCCGAAATGTAATCCAGTGGGTTAGACCTCGTCTTTTCCGATCGATCGCTCGCGCTTCGTCACGCGAAGTGGGATTTCGGACAGTGATATAAATTCACGGGATAACCATGTTGGACACGTACCGATCTATCGCGCACGACGCGCCAGGACTTGGCCTGTACTGCCAAGAACGTCTCAGACATCCCGCACTTTTCCTCTTCCGTTGGCAGAAGTGCCAGCCTTCGACCGGGTATTCTTGTGCCAAGCTATTATATTACGCGGACTATCATCTTGAAATTTTTTGCAGCTCTCGGGCTGTACTAACGCGGCGCGGAGAGGCGCTTGATTTTCGCCGCTGAAGAGAAAACTCGGGGAGACCGGCCGCGGCCGGCCAATCTCCAACCTTTAATCAACGCACGCCCACAGGGGCATAATATCAGAGGTCGTAGCTTCTGCTCGGGCAAATCGTAAAAGCCATAGTAATTGCAAAACGATGTCGGCCGAAACGAACAATCACGCCGGCTGTAAAACTTTACTCAGACGGCGGCAACGACGGCGATGACGACGACCACGTCGACGACGACGTCGACGACGACGACGGCGACAAAAATGAGGATAAGGCCACGGTGCCGCCGCAGCTGTTATTACGAGTCAACGATTATAGCGTTTCATAAGTTCATACGTAGAGAGCCTGGCTAAGCGAAATACCAAATTGTAGAAAGTCGCAGAAAGAAAGGGGCGTAATATCCGCATTACCTCGCATTGCCCCTCTCATTGCGACACGATGTATTCTCTCGATTCTCGAGGATTTCCCCGAGATCAATACCCGACGAAGACACGGAGAAAAGGAAATAATATCCGTACGTCGTCACGTCCTTAGGGGAGTATAACACTATAATAAGATTGCGCGCTTCTGTACGAGAGAGAACGAACGTATGCCATTACGCTCGCTCGCACTACGCTCTATGAGTAATAAAATGCGAAATAAGATTTTTTTTTTGTCAAGTGTACGCGCTAGAGCATCGAGCTTTCTCGTCAGGTTTAACGATCCGTCCACGAAGGAGAGAAGACCGACGTTGGTTGTAATACTGCGGGCGCCGAGAATGAACCAGGTTTTCATTAATCGATCGCCACGTCGCATACATATGCATGCGCACGTGCGAGAAATAATTATTATAATTATACACTTCCCTGTAGCCCGCATTTTACCGTGCTCGTTGTTATTGTCTGACTTCACTCACCCTTATAAGATAAATTTTCATTCACTATGGTTTCCTTATGTAAATAGATACCGCGCACAATGGGATAATGCCCCGCGCCGACGTGAAACGACGCAGTGGGTTATCAAGTATTCAAATTACATTTTACAAAAAAAAAACCATGTACATTGTTATAAGTACCGAGCATTACGACTTTAACCGTGCAACTTAATTGAGCGGCGAAAGCACTTTTAAGAAGTCATCAACACCTATAAATTACGGACAAAACGGCGCGTCGTAAGTTGCAGCATGCACGTATAATTTCAACTTTTTCTCGACGTCTTATCGCTATCTCGCACTAAAGTACTTGGCACATTTTTAAAGCGGTATGATATAATTGTAGCATATTATACGCTTTTGCTTATGCACATATTTGCAGTATATAAAACTATATTCATTTATTAAACATTTCCATTACTTTTACTATGCAATGTTAACTGAACGTACATGTGCAATATATATCTAAAAGAATTAATAATTTTCGAGCCGTAGCATTAAAAATATCCGAAAATGTGCTCCAGCAGATAAAGTAAATTACATCGCGACGTTATATCTACCCATAGACGACACTCTCGCTGCAAAGCTGAGGCGACATTTTTACCGAGGGCGACCTCGGACCTGTCGCTTTTCGGAAAGCGCGAAACGTAGTGGCACCAACACGCCAACGACTCTGCACGGCCGCAAACGTGTTCGCGCCTTTGGCGAGGATATTACACCGCGATAAAAATGATTACGCGACAAATTGCACCGTCCGCGCTTCGACGAGGGAAGGCGCTGCTGCTGCTGCCTTTCGCCACCCGCCTCCCGTCCCGGTTAATAGGATGAAATATCGCGGGCTCTCGCATCTCGGGTAGGTAGGCGAAAAACCCGAAAGGGAGAGAGAGAGAGAGAGAGAGAGAGATCTACTCTCTTCAGGTATCGACAAATTAAGCCCTGCAGTAGTCGCATTCGCGCCGCCCGCATTCGCCGATCGCATTTTCCGGAGGTACGTTTCGGCGTGACGAGATCCGATCGATTCAGCGGTTGATGCGTGGAATAAATTATCCCGCATCAGCGCTCGTGGCGTCACTTCGAAATTGATTCTCTCTATCTCCCTTCTCTATATCTCCATCTCTCATCCGGGTCCCCTGTCTAGCCGCAGTGCCGCAGCATCGTCATGGGAACGTGCACCCTTCCCCTCCCAACAGGGGTATTCTTCTACGTACCGAATGAATCCGCGCTGATCAGAATTTGTTTTAATCGATTTACCGAGTCAGCCCGTCGTTCGCGCTTTCGTTCGTTCTCTCTCCCTCTCTCTCATCCTCTCACCCTCTCTATCTCTCTCTATCTCTATCTCTATCTCTTCTCACCGGGCCTCGTTTCATGAGCGCCGAACCGAACTATTCGCCAACCGCACCGCGGAGTACTCCAAGTATTCGCATTACCGGCGGGGATTCACCGCGTTCGGCCGCCGCCTAGCTCCGTGATCGGGGTTTCCAAGGGGAGCATCCAGACGAGACGAGATGGGACAAGAGCGTGGAGAATCGAGAGAGGGAAAGGAGGAGGAGGAGGAGAGAAAGATATGGAACGGCGCTCTCTCGTTGCGGCATTAGATACAGGGCGAGCAGAGTTATACGGCAACCAGGCCCGCTCGTGCGGCTACGCGCCGCGAAATTGACTCGCTCATCCGTGTACACCCTTATAGCGACCCCACGACTGCGCAATCCATTACGGCGCCATCGGGTTACCGGGCATCGCGGATCCGCTGCGGTGTCGGCTTTTTGTTTCTCCCGAGTTCTCGCCGCGCGCCGGCAGAGTTCACGCAAACGAAGCCCAAGTCCGTCCGACACTTCACGTCCGCAGTAGAAATGGGGTTTACGTCAGGCACGAACGGACATCCACGAGCATTTCCCCGATCCTCTCTCTCTCTCTCTCTCTCTCTCTCTCTCTCTCTCTCTCTTCCTCTCCTTCCTTCTCGTACATACGTCGCACCGGAGACGTACTCCTGCAGTCCTGCCGACGCGAGGAAAAAGGAGCAATCGCGTGTTAGGACCAGATTTCCGGCTACAGACAGGCCAGTTGCCGTCGCGTCACGTTCGGACGTATTTATTGGAAAGGGAGCGATCGTGAAGTTCGAAATTGCGCGCGCGATCGGCACATTAAAACTTCAATCTCGTTACAAGCTTTATTCGATATCTCATCTGCAAGGTTCCACCTGTATCAAGCTTTTGTATTATGTGTTATTTAATCATTCGCATAAATTTACATTAACTCGAGAAAAATTCCTCGTAATAGATATTTTTTTTAATCAAGTCCTTTTATAAGTCTTTTTAGGTTAAGAGAGATATATGCTCTTCCATAAAATACCGGTATAAAGAAACTACATAGATACTTGGCATACAATTATTAAATGAAAAAGTATTACATTATTATAAATTAAAATTTCAAAACCAAATAATGAAGGATGATGTTATATCATACAAAAGAATTACATTAAAATGTTATACTTCCATTAATATTCGCTTTTAATAAAAGCAAACGAGACAAGAAATAGATATTCTCATAAGAAAAAAAGGATATTAAATTATAACTTATGTCGTTATACGATTTTTTTTTTAATATAAAGGAATATAAAAAATATGGCTAGGCAGAATGTAAAAAAATAATAGCGAATGATATCAAAGACAACAATCGCTTACACAGGCTCGCGTTTAACGTTCAAACACGATCCATTAAAGCAACACAAGCACCTCCATCATCGCTGCGTATTAAGGATTCATATATCCTCATTTGTGTGGCCATGGATTTTATGTCCTACTTGAAACGCATATATTCGACGTAGAAACGATCATGGAATATCATCTTCTAGAAAACATTTGCATTTATCATGTCAAATTTGAATACGTTCGAAATCACTGTAAAATCGTGGATAATCCGGAGGTTAATCCTCGTTATCGCGATAATAATGATTCAAGTTTCTTACTGTCATCGCAACTCGAAAGACGACCGCATCGCGGCGAGCTGAGAACTTTATAGCTGGGAAAACGAGAAAAACGGAACGAGATTTTCTCAGTGAATAGCTCCGAACGAACGAAAGCGGGTATTATTTGCGTTACTATCGAGATTCATGCAGAATAAAATAGCGGTAAAAAAAATAGTTCAGGCCGTTTCAATAAGAATTACGAGGATGGCCAGCGTATAACGGCACACAGTTATAAAACCGAGAAACTCGGCAAATTAAAGTGCTGAGGAGAAGAAAAAAAAGGACGAGAAAAAAGAGAGAAAAGGAAAAAAGTCATTTAAAGAGAGAGAAAGTACAGTAAGGTGAAATTGATTTGCTGCTCTGAGACTAAATCTCCTCAGGAAGCTGTATGTAATATACATAGATATATACGTGTGATAAAAATCATTTTAAATATAAAGCAAAAATTATACAAATTTTTACAAATATATAAATAAAAAAAAATAACACAATATATTATAAAAATAAAAACCACAATAAACGCAAAAATCTTAGAAAAAAGAAAATATTCGAAACATTATAATTTTCATATTTGAAATTTAATATTAGATATTTAATGTTGATATTAAAAACTTACGAATTGTTACACTTTTTACAATTTTATCTAAAATCTAATTCCTTTAAATTTATCAACAAATTTATCACCAAAATTTTTTTAGGTCAAAAGTTCAGGAATAATTCATATAGACATTTCATTTTCAAGCATTCGTATTTCTCCACACACAAATTAAACTGTGGATTTAAATTGAATATAAAGATAAGAAGACGAAGGAGGAAGAGCGATATACTTTAGCCATACTTAGCCGACAATGTAATTACGTTTCCATCCCCATTGCTTTGTATACCATTCTACAATGTCACCGTTATTACGCTCCATGTGGAGTGCTCGCGTGCAAATAATAATTATCTCAGATCGGTCTGAGCACGAGCCAGTGCGGAGACAACGATGCACGATAGTGTCCAGGGATTATTTATTATCACGCCAGTGTATCTATATAGATGAGAGAATTACGGTTTGCAAATAATACGAAAAATCGATCTCGTCATTGCCGCAGGTATAATGGCACGTTGAAGATCCCATCTTTCCTACAGATTGTGCCGACGACGTTCTTTACTGTTATGTCCTTCCTCAGCCGGATACAGACGGAGGACGCTTTTGTCCGTGGAGACGCAAAAAAAAAAAAGAAAAAGATAAGAGATCTTACCGTACCGATATATACGAAAGAACGTTGTCGCGAGGCACGTCGGAAATGTACGACCCCCCGGATGGCTTTTAGTCGGATATACTTCTATAGAGTAAAAACTTTTGTCGTTGCATTTGTCGATGAGAGCATTCTCTTTCAGGTATACCACCGTCTTTCCACCCTCCCTCTCTCGCGACTCTTTCAATTCTTCCTAATGTCGCCTTTACTATTTTAATTCTCCACCTCAAATTTATATATACAGCGAGAACGATTTTCTTCGCCTTTGCAAGCGAATTCTACGTTCGCTATCATTTTTATTTGCAATCGTAAAAGCAGATTTGCGGGCGTACCTCGCTTGTTCAGCTGATCCTCCACTACGACAGCGGATATCATGAAGACATTACCCACGCTCCCGCCTACGGCGAGGGAGGCCAACAGCAAAAGTCGGGCCACTCTGGACCAGGCCGATGATAAAGTCACTGGCGAAACGTCAAGATCATTGTCGCTATTCATATTGATATTCATCGCCTTGGTGTATTTTTCAAGTTCAAAACCGATGCTTGTCGCACCGTTGTAGATGACCGTCGTGACGTTCATTCTGAAACTGAAAAAAAAATATATCGTTACTTATAAAATAGTTTTACGTTTCAATACAGTGGTAATAAATGAATCTGTTAATTACGACGCTACTTCATATCCTCAGATAAAAACAAATTAAAATCAAATTTCAATAACAACTGTAATTACAGGGTATGAGTTCACATTTCAATATGAATTACAACTACAGTTTGTGGCTAAACTTATAAATTTAACTAGGTATTTTCTTCGGAAAGTATCTCACGGATGATTAACGGCAAAGGCAACAAAGTTTAACTTCGATGAGCAACACATCCCTTCCGTCTTTCATCAATTTAAAGGATGGCTCATGGTGGTCTGCAAGTCTGGAACACGAAGGAAACGAGGCTGAAGCTATTCGATATCACGCTATTACAGGAAGAGAGACCCTTTGAAGATTAGGGCCGACAAGACCATACCGACCATCCTAATTGTGAATTATCGATCGGACTACGGTGTGGGGATAGTCACCTGTTTCGACCATGGCCCATGTTAGGTTTCCACAATATCCTCGTTGTCACTAACAACATCTGCGCAATATCATGGTAATTAGCAAATATAAGTGTCATAGCAGTCAGATAACAGCTGACGCCATACAAAATGTTGAAAAACACTGGAATTTAAGGATGCATAATATTCTCGTAAACTGTCCTCTATCTTCGAAAAGTTTCTCGGACATGCCGGCTTGCATGAATAAAGTGGAGGAAGTGTCTCTGCCTTTATTTTCGAAAGAATATATTTCGAAAAATATTAGATTTTATCTATTTAGTCGAGATTAAAATATTCTACGTGAATAAAAAGTCGTAAGAAATGTGATGTACAACCATGTAACTGATGAAAATATTTATTTATATGAAAATATATTCGATCGAACGCTCAATTAAACTTTATTTATCATGCTTTAGATATTATGGTTTGCATTCTTGTTAAATTTTATACGAATAGCAAGACTATAAAATTGAGTATCATCAATTATATTGTTAAGATGTATTGTGATAGCGTTCAAAAGACATTTTCAATTTTTAATGTTTAAAATCTGAAACTTTCATCTTTCTTTTAAACTCTCCTTTTCAACAATATTTTCTCATTTTTATTATTATACTTAAACATTTTAATTCATATACTCTCTTAACATTAACATTTTAATTGTACCATCAATCTATCTACGAAGATAGATTATCTGCTTTGCCATTCTACACGTGAATGGAAATGTCTCGGCTGTGCCTATAGCGTTTCCAAAGTGGATCTTAAATTTTCATTAGCAAATGAAGCCTCGGGCGGCATTTAAATGTTTAACAGGGCCTATTCCGTTGAGCGACGGACGCGAAGAAATTGATCGCGAAAATTGCGTTTAATAATAAAGCTGCATCATCACTCTTTCTACCGACGAGCTATCGTTTCTTACTTACAGAAATATTTTCACTTGTTGCATTAGGGCTTGAAATGGCGAGCCCCTCAAGCCAATAATCTCATCAATCCCGTTACGTGACCTTTCACGCACATCGACATCGAATCAATTTCCCCGCGGACGTCGCCGGTATCTTTTCCTAATTGAAAAACGACTTCTATGTGTGAGTGAAACGCCATTCGCGCTGCAGAAAAAGCGGTAACTGCAAATTCTCGCTTCCGTCTTCGCGCGAAAGAGGATCAGCCGGAATGATCGATGTTCGCTGTGTACGAGATGTCTCAAAACTTGACTTCACTTCTCATCTGAGAATTTCTTTCACGAATTTCAAGATCAATTTCTGCATGATTAATACTGAATTGAACACAAATTACTTTTTCATTAATTGTTCATTTTTATTTTTGACATAAGAATTTTCAACATCAAATGTATCTTGATACCTGTGTCCACTAAAAAATATGATAAAAATCAACTATAATTATATAAATGTACTAAACTTTTGTTATTTATTGCGTAAAATCTGTTCATTCCTAATTGCTTGTAATTGAAAAGATGAAGAAATCAAGGAATCCGAATCAAGGAACAATAGAATAAATGTGACGATGATTTTGAGACACCCTGTACACAAAACTTGTGCGTTCTACGGATTTTGGGGTACGACTCTTATGTCCGCTTTAAGCGGCTTTTAAATTGTAGATCTATTTCGAGAGGTGTCTCCGACTGTCTGACTACTCGACGAGACGTATAGATTACAATCTCATTGCGACACCTTGCGAAAGTGGATCTCATTCGCGATGCAAAAAGATGCAAACGGTCCCATCGGCGGAAGAGAGCATCTCACGTTTCACGAGTCTCCTCCAATCCCGTTCGAATGTATGCGTAAAAACGAGTTACACGTTCGCCCTCTCAAACCTAGAGCGCGTTTCGACGAAGGCGCAACGGTAGGTGTGCTTACAACGGGATGTTGACGAAGAACCACCGGGGGTCCATCGATGTAGATCCTGAATGAACTAGATTACAAGAAGATGTGATTGCGTCTCCGCGACTAGGAAAAAAAAAAAGGAGGATTGACTCAGAAATCTGGGATGTTAAGGGCATACGGATGCAATCTTTTGAATTATTCCGACTGTACGGTAGAATCTACTCTCTCGCTTTACAATTGAAATCTCCACAAAAATCTCCATACACGGAGGAGACACAAAATTCGGCTATTGCAGCGCGTCTTTCGGACGGATTGTCGCTTTATCTATTTAGAGATGCGCGACGGAGGAGAGTCGTCTAGTCCGAGCTCGAGTAGACCGACGTGACATTGTCCTCTCGTCACGTCTTGTGGTCGGAAATTTCATATTTCCATTCATACATAGACGACGACGACGACGACGACGGTGGCGCGAGAGTCATCTTACATACGACTCGACTCGACTCGACCCGTGAACGCAGACAGCAGGAAACGCGCGAGATCTTCTACTGTAACACCAGCAGGCCTCGCTCCGTACGGTTGATATCGGATTTCGGTGGGATCGATGATAGCCGGGGATACAGTTAACCCCCGCGCCAAGTCTAGTCTACGTCCGTTTCTCGTGCTCGTATCCGACGGACGGGAATAAAGCGCGGTGTTTAATTGCGCTCGCGCGTTTAATTACCACCTCGCTATACTTGCCCCGATCAAATACCTTTCGTTACTGTGAAAGTCGCTAAAATTTTTACGGCGTCGACATATGCGAGAGCTTTGCGACCCTCTCGCGAAAAAGAAGGTACGACGATCTTCCGGACGGTCGTTCCGGTAGGCGCGCGTTACCGACTTTTTACGACTCATTAAAGCGGCCGAAATCAAAATTACGGTGCCGCGATATATATACCATGTTTTATTGACAATAAAGCCGGCGAGTAGTAATTAGGTTCGTATCAAGTTTGCAAACTGCTTCATTTTAAGACTTTCGGAACTCCACACTCGCGTGCGCGCGAGTGCCATCGATGCTCGAGGAGTGGCGCCGTTAATTTGCATGAAAGTAATCCGCAAATGAATATTCACCCGGCATATCATTAAGACCGTGAAAGGGGACGCGGGCCGGCCAGAGTTAAGAGTTAATGTTCACGCGTCCGTAACGATCAAAACATGTTCATTCCGTATTTATATATGTAAACCGTTGAAACTAACGGAACAAAACAAACATGAGCCTTCCTGCCAATTTAACAAATGACATACCATGTCGCCTTACTGCCTTTGAAAGTGATGAAAATCAAAATAATTAGTATACGATACAACTATCATGAAAATCGCATCAAACGCAAAGGCAATGATAATTTTTAACGTTAAACGATCCATGCAATTACACGCCATTACCTTTATACGTTTTATCCATAGTAATGGATTGGATATATAACGCTATAACTCTTTTAATCTAACAGGAAACGTTGTAAAGTAGATTCTTAGAGCCATCGCGCTCCGATCGGCCACGTATAAACCGTCGATGGACGATTACAGGGCGGAAAATAAAATTTCTCTGGGAAACGTACGTGCCGGTGTGATAAAGGCGACAACAAATTTCGCGGATGGCGGAGTTACGCGATTACGTGACGCGTCGGCCGGGAAGGTTACGAGAAAGTTTCTGGAGTGTAAAGTGGGCTTAAGGCAGCCGCAGGATAAGAAGTCACCGAGGCGAGGCTTTATGAGGAAGAGAGGGTTATAGAAAGAGAGACGGCGTGGTCGTGAGAATGTACACGGCTAAGCAAAAAATTCCTCTAGAAAAGTGCTCTCGAAACGGCCCGGAAGTTTTTCATGGACGGTACCCGACCCCTTAACATCCGGGTCACGTACACTGGCATCTTTTAATAAATAATGCATCGTCGATATTTGGTGCGAGATGCTGTAATTTCCTGCGACTACATTTTTGACATGCTTTTGCGAGAGACAGAACGAACGGAATTAATAGAAACGTGAAAAACATGATAATTTCGAATACATAGTATAACTGTAATTGAATGTAATTAACAATTATTTCTCAATTATTTAAGCTATCTGTTAAATTAATATAATTTTCTATTTTTTTACTTAAAAAAAATATATTTTCTTTAATTTATTGTTTCTCGCGTGTCTTTTGTGTATGACGATCTCTGGTGTTATGAAGAAAGTGTCGTGAGAAAAGCGAGTAATTAAAATAATAAAATCACTTATTTATATAAATTAAATTGCTACCTCCCATTACGATAATCACGTTACCCGATTCTTGAAATTATGGAAGACCAACGGAGGAGAAAACAGCGTAACATGATCTTGAGCCGAAAGAAACTTTTATTAGCTCCTTTTTGCGCGCAAAAAACCTGAATCCCAAAAGCACGCACCCACCTTGCAGGTAGATCCTTCCATAATCTCAACCTCTTTATCTTCTTACCCGCCTTCTGCAGTATCGTCTTACCTAATGGATTTTAAATCGTGTGAAACACAACATCGTACCAACTATTTCTGTTCGGGACAGGAATGAATTTTTAATTAGTCTTTACTGCTTTGTACGTACCATTACGCACGACCGCCGCAAATCGTCTTGAATGGTCCACCAACCGGTATGTATTCCGCGTATTTTTTATTTTAACGCTTTATTTATCGCATAACTTTCTGACGACGGTGTCGCTCGTAAATCGAGAACTTCGGTGTCGCACTTAAACTTCTTGCTTTTTGCTCGCGAGATCCTCGATAATACGTCACGCGCTTACTATGGTGTAAGCGCCACGCACCGGCAATTATGCATCGGCAGAAGAACAAATTATAAGTCAAGATTAATGATATCAACGTATATATCAGACTGGCCGCCATTTCGGCTCGACTTAAATTTCTTCTTAATGAAAATTTAGTGTGGTATTATTTTTCTTTCATATTCTACGAACATTAAATATTTTTTAAAAGTCTCAGGAAATCCTAAAGTAAAATCCACTTTAACTTGAAGCTAATGCAAAGCTTAAAGATTTAGATAAAAAATAAAAGTTTTGTCGTGTATTTACATCAGCGATGCTTAATTTGTAGAAAGTTTTTCCAATTAAAATGAGATATGTATCTTTGGAATTACTGCAAATTACTTAAGAAATCTGCTTAAAGAAACTGTAGAAGAAAAGATGAAAAAAATACTGTATATCTCACATTCCGTGCAGCCATTATGGCACAATTGAAAT